AACTCTAACCCTAAATCCTAGTTCAAATCTAAAAAATATATAAAAAAATATACCCTAAAAATTTTTAAAAATCGTATATTAAATAGGGTTTGATTTCACGATCATCCGTGACAATTGTTATAATACGTGAATTTAAAATTGCTTTTTAATAAAAATATATTAGTATAAAAATAAATAATTATATAATCAAAATAAGACAAATTTGATCAATTGCTTACTTAGCCAATAATGTTTGAGTGCTTTTTAACACTTCACTATATAGCAAAGTTGATCCAAAATCTGTACAATTGATACGGATAGTGGTTCATCATATACATTACATTATCATTATTAGTACTTAGCTCTTCCAGATTATGCGAGGAGGGTTTCTGTGAACTAGTTATTAAACGGAAAGAGATATCATCAACTTTAATAACTTTACCCGGATCCATCAAAGAGCTTACCCCACAAACCAAAAGATTGGTTATTGCAAGTCTCAAAGAAGACAAATGCAAAATTGAACTTAATTTAGGGACTATATAATATCTGATTATGACAATTTTATTTTAAATATTGTTAATAGTAATCACATTAATTGATCAGAAGCTAAACAAGAGCAAAGATCAATGCCACAAAGTATAGGCCAATCTCACATTGAGCTATCGCTAATTGTGATGAATCCTTGTAACGTGCCAAAGTTCTAATGTTTGAAAACTTTTCAAAATCTACAAAATATCTAAAAGTTTTATCAGCTAATAATTGAATCTGCTGCGAGAGTATTGAAAATTCATTATTTTGATTTGTCAAACAGTGGTGATAGATCCAATTTCTTATAAACACCCAAAAAAAGAAATCAAGATTATTCCGATCATCTTGATTTTCTAAATCTTTTGTAGCATATGTAGCACCAGAACCAAATCCCAAGTAATTCCCTCCTCCAAAACATAATCTTTAATCTTCTTATTCATATTACTTTTTAATTCATCATGATAAAGATCAAATTTTCCATTAGGTACAATTAAACAACAAATTGTATTTTGCCATGACTCATCACTTAGTGCTTTAGAATCAACATGAATTATATCGTAATTGTTATCTAGAATAGATTTTAAATGGCTAATGATATTTGGTTGGGATTGTATATCCTTTTGAGAAGTATAGATTAATGTATTTGTTTTCATGATGCCAGAATTTTTGAAGAAATTTTAAGCTTATATGATTAGAATAATTTGATTGTAAAATATTTGATTTTAAAATATTTAGTCTTGAAACTATAAAGATAGAATTAACATTAACAAATCTTCGCATCCGTCATAGAAAAACTGCTATCAGGGACCATAAAAATTATTTGAATTATATATTGTTTAACATCGTGAAAAGTAGTAGTGCCAATATCATTCATCAAGTGTCTATTTCTAAGAAATCTTAAACAAAATTTGGTTGGGAAACCATAAAAATTGTATAAATTTGGATAACTTTTTTTATTAATTCTAATAAAAATTAAGAAAATGATAAAAATTTGGGTAATGCCGGGTAATTTGAATTTTTTTTCTAAATTTCATAAATTCTTTATACAATATTCCTGTGCTAAATTTAACGCATTTCTAAAATAACCAAGAATGATTTTTTATACATATGAACTAAATTAACACGAACAAAATAAAGCTAGATAAATATTCATGGACTTGCTTATTTAAAACAATAAATGTTCTATACGATTATATGACAAGTACTTCGGATTGCAACCCTGAACTGTACTATGTTAAATACCTTTTGTAACAACAAAATTGCAGTAGTACTTGAAATTAATTGTTTAAAATAATTCTTTAGAAAGTTTGTATTTAGCAAGACTATATGAAATAAAAATAAATTTTCTCCTTTAAAATCACTTAGTGCAACTAAAACACAATATATATTGTTCATGTTCATCCCAATAATAGTCACTAATAGTGTTAAAGTTTAATTGCTATCATTGGGAAAACTCCAAATGGTCTTGGTGCAAATGGCCTCATAAATCTTTATTAAAGTAAGTCAAGGGTGTTTTTGGATGTGTACGAACGATGCCATTTCTTTTGTCACATCTGACCGATACGTTACGTTATGCTAATTTTATTAATAATTATTCATTTAATTAATTAATTTTATTATTAATTTTTTTAAAATGTATATATTACGTATATGGTCACGTGACCCGATTTCGGGTCACCGACCATTTTCGCGGGAATTCGAATTCCCGTAAGTCACATGACTTCACCACGACTAAGCAAATTATGTGAGAGGTTTAAATTGTTCTTGCTTTAAGATTCTAATTTATTAACATATTTTCTGTTCCAAGATCGTAATTTTGCTATTTAATATGATGAAAAAAAATAAAAAATTGGTATGTTAAAAGTTTATTTTCCATTTGATAGATAAAAATTGAACTTGCATACCAATCTTAGATCTAAAATATAATCATCGCTAGGATTATTTTCCTAATACAATTGGTTCTATTGATAGTTATTAATTGCATTGATAGTTTTTTTTACTCTACTTAAATAACTCTCGAGACCGAACTCTCACATTACATATTAAAGAAAGCATATAGCTGATCTTTTCAGATTTCTTCTTATTGGTTAGTTAAGGCATAGTAATTTGTGATGTGTATTTAGTGTAATTTCTTTATTTTTTTTTTTTCTAACACAAGTGGTTATTTAGTAATTTTGGATTTAGGATCTTTGTTTAGCGAATAATAAAATGTGTTATATATCTGTTCAGAGGGTTTTTATGCACATAAGTGTCATAACCAACCTTACCCAAGTTACTTCCTTTAAATAACTTTTACAAACCAATAAAGTGGCTTACTATTACTATTCGCGGTTATAATAAGCCTCTTACATATTGTTTAATTAATCATTCTTCTACAATTTTTAGCCGATAAGCCTCATGCGTTATCTTAGCCTCCTTGATCAATCTCAAATAAGCATGGAGAAAAAAAATCTAGAATTTATTTTTCATTTTGGATAGTTGATACATTACTACGAATTACAATAAATTTAATAAATTTTGAAATTAAGAACTTATCTTTTTTAGTAGATTTACAAATATTAAGGTAAAAATTGTACACTTGCTTTCTTTGATTTTATTAAAATTTAAGATAATTTTAAAGTTTAAAAACATTTTAAAATAGTTTTACAGACAAAAAAACTACTAGTTAATCTTTTAATAAGAAATTTTGAATATAAAGAACTGTAATTTTTTTTTAAACTAATTAAGATTTAAAAGTGTAATGCATTTTTAAGAAACATGGTAATTTATATAACTTTTCCTTCCTAGAATTATTGATTCATTATAGAGAGAATTAACTTAATATTTGGGTAAGGACTTTCTACATTTTGTGTTTAGAAAGAATTAAATATCATTAGATGAGTATTTATTGGATTTTGGTTCTGTAAAATAATATCATGATATGAATTAAAAAATATATATAAATATCGTGCTTACATACTTAATTAAAAAATGCTAACATGGTACAAATCACAAATATTCTCTCTAATATACAGATAACATATAAATAGTGAATAAAATTATTTCAGAAGAGGTGGAACCAAATGTTTGTAATCATCGTTAATTTTATATAACTATAACTAATAAGCGGTTGACATGTACTTTTCATCATCAATGATTTAAACGAATGGCAATAATTATCCTATGCACATACCTTTCTCTTTGTTTATTAAACGTTGTTGAATTTTCAGTACGTACAGTACGTACGTTTAAAGTCATCTAACTGATCACAGGTTAAAAAGTCTGGTATTTTAACTCCGTGTATGAATGCAGGTTTACTACTAAATAAAGATAAGAAATTTTATTTGACTGATGACGTTTTATAATGATAGAGCTAAAGCTTTATTTCCTTAAATTTCCAAATAAATTGTTGAATAAATAAATTCTAAAAAAAAAGGAAAAAGCATTCCTTGTTCTTCCACTGATTTTTATTGTAAATATACTATATACTTAATTTAAAGTACTGTACATTTAATCTAATTCTTAAGCTTTACAGTAAAATTTAAATGCTTTCTACATACAAATAAATTGACACTCCTATAAAAAAAAAAGCAACCAACCTCTCTTATCATCACTGCTTTTTTTTTAAAAAATTCTTTTTATGTTTGTTTTTCAAATTAATTAATTTGACTGAGAATGTAGTTTATTGGTTCGTGGCTTCCGCCACGTTATTAAGATGCCCCTTGGACAAAAACTGATATTATTTATTGCAAAAAATAAATCTATACTAATTTGACTTAAAATCATGTTTTTATTAGTTGAATAAAATTTAATGTATCAATTCTGTAATTAGAACCATAAACCAAGTTCTTGGTATATCCAGCCATAACGCCAAGAATCGTGTTGTTGTTACTTACTTTAACAGGAATTTTTGATTCTGCTTCCATCAATAGCGTAGGTTGTAGTACCAAATAAACCGGTTTTACGTAGCCCCGCCAGGGTCTAGACACTTTTGCAGTAACGTGACGTGGCGCATAGAAAATGACCAATCGGAATTCGTAAAGTTCGAACGCCCCGGATCAGTCTGACGTCAAAACA